CAACGAACGAAAAGAACTAACTAACTAACTAACGAAATAACTAACTAACTAACTAACGAACTAACTAACTAACGACTAACTAACTAACTAACTAACTAACTAACTAACTAACTACTAACTAACTAACTAACTAACTAACTAACTAACTAACTAACTAACTAACTAACTAACTAACTACTAACTAACTAACTAACTAACTACTACTAACTAAACTACTAACTACTAACTAACTAACTAACTAACTAACTAACTAACTAACTAACTAACTAGAACTAACTAACTACTAACTAACTAACTACTAACTACTAACTAACTAACTAACTAACTAACTAACTAACTACTAACTACTACTAACTTACTACTAACTAACTAACTAACTAACTACTAACTACTAACTAAAACTAACTAACTAACTAACTAACTAACTAACTAACTAACTAACTAACTAACTAACTACTAACTAACTAACCTAACTAACAAACTAACTAACTAACCTAACTTATGTGCCATACACTTCAAGTGATTTCAAAAAGTGTATCTAAATTATATGAATCGATCCTTTGTTATCACAATTTACTCTAATCTGTTTTATCGTATATAAAATATTAGTATGATATCAGGCTGTTGTACTACTTATTACATCATTTGGTCATTTTCTGAGGGATCTTATAATGAGGTTGGGGGCAATCATGGAGCGATCCTCGTATAATTATAAATTCATAGAGACTTAAGTTCCTCTAAAGCTTGTTAATGTTGAATTTCGTTACTTTTGCTATTATTTCGAAGACGTTTTTTATGGTCGAATTTTGTTGCTACTCTTTAATGTTGAAGCATGTCATTAAAGTAATTTTCTGAGGGGGACCTTATATGGGGGGTAAGATCTATTGCCGACTGATCCTCATAATATATGGTAGAGGGGTTTAGTTTCTACAAAACATGTTTATGTCAATTTAGTCGATGTACTGGAATTTTGAAGCGAATTATAAACATTAATATCTATTTCTAAGAGGAACCTTATATAGGGGGGTAGGGTCAATTATGGACCGATCCCCATAAAATTGGACAGAGAGTTCTTACTTCTCCTAAAATTTGTTTATGTCGAATTTGGTTGCACAAGTTAAAACTTGTAACTTAAATTTTAAATTATATTCATTATTTAGAAATGTTTCAGAAAAATTATCACTTATCTGGTGTCAACATTTAACCATATAAATAAATATTATTATTAACATTTTAATTTTCATGTGTATTCCTTAAAACGTGATTCTTTCTCCATGTGCACTACACCGCAAAGTATGAAAATGTTTTATTTTAAGTGTTTTGTCTAGCATTTGCCAGGCATTTGTAATGAATTTTTTTTCAGGTTTTTTTCTTTTTTAAACACACCACCATCATAAACACTTCCTAACACATAGCAAACGTTTTTATTATTTTATTTATTTTTTAGTCTTTGCAGAAATTTGTTTAAGCTTTGTGTGTATTTAAACAATGAATTTTTGAAGACACCTTGACGTATGAGTGTTTTTCTTATATTATTCTTTTATTTATTCTGCTTAAATTTTTAATCTTAACAAGATTTATGGGATTTTTGTTGGTTTTTACTACAGATTTATATTTCTTTTGAATTTATTTTATATTATTTTGTTTCTAAAGTTTACATTTTTAATAAAATATTTGGCACAGATTTTCAGTTTTTTTTTACAGAAAAATATACATATATTTTCTTTTGTAATTTTTTTCCTGTCGACTTTTTGGTTTGAGCTTACTACTGTGAATGCCTATATCGATTTATAAATGTAAAATTTTGTTCCTTTTCTTATTATCAACTTGACTTATTGGGGTTTTAATTTAAGAATAGTAGAAGAAATTTAAGATATTTTTTCCGCTTTAAATTTCATTTAAACATTTTAGGCGTATGAGTGATATTTTGTAGAAGTTGAATTAAATATAAAGTATACGTTAATTTCTATGTATAATAAGTAGTAAAGAAATACATATGTTAATCACAACTGAACTAGTAGAACTGAACTTGAGCTGATTTGATTAATCCTAATCTGATTGTAGAAATAAGTAATTAACTTAAGAAATAAAAAACTAATCAATTTTACTTTATTTTTATTTCAGGTACGAAACGAATTATTCTGTAAGTTTGAAATATAACATTCACAAAATATACTTCAGATACATAAGTAATATGATATCATTAAAGTGGCAATATCCTTCTTTCTTACATACATGAGATCACTATTCAATTTCCCTAAAAATTTACTTTTCCTGATGTTAAGGCGTTGGGTATGTTTAATAAAACGTATTTTTCAGCAAATATTACTACAGCTAAAATCTGCAATTTTATTAAATTAATTCAGTTCAAATTACAGAATATATAATAATTATGTATACATACACTTGTGTTTAAATTAGGATTTACAATACCCTGTTGCTTAACAAATAATTTCTTTTTCACAAATTTATAATTCTCCAAACGTGGTTTAACAAATTTAACAGTTTAAGAAAAGAAAGATAATGCAAATATGAGAAATTATAAGTAAAAGGAATTAAGAAAAACAGGTGTTGTAAAGCGAAAAAATAAAGAAATGACATTTATAAGTAATGTAATTGTGGTGATTTTTAAATTTATAATAAGTTTAGATATACACCGCAACATATTCCCCCCCGTAAACTTTGTGCCTGGCGCAGGGTTTACCCTTTAACATCCAGTTTTGCTAGCTTTATTACAGGACGAGTAAGTAGACCACCTTTTGTTTTGACCACAGCGCTTCTTACGATTTTGTCTTTCCCTTGGTGAACATCAATAACTATACCCTTTGTCCACGTATTTCTCTTGGTATTTTCATCAACAATAATTACGACATCGTTTACTGCTATGGAATTTACCGAGTCCCCATACCACTTTGTGCGCCTAGCCAAACAAGGTAAAACTTCTCTTACCCATCGTTTCCAGAATCTATCGGCTAACATGCTGGTAATTCTGAAATTTTTACTCAAAGCTAATCCATTGCCATCAGGTATCACTCTTTCACGCATGCCGCTCGAAGAACCAATTAAAAAGTGATTAGGAGTAAGTGCGTCGGCTTCTGGTGATTCCAAGGGAACATAAGTTAATGGACGTGAATTCAAAATATTCTCTACGTCGGCTAGTGCCGATCTTAAGACTTCTTCGCGTAGACCATCTTCGGGCAAAATATCCATCAGAACAGATTTTATTGATCGCACCATCCTTTCCCACGAACCTCCCATGTGAGGTGAGGCTGGAGGTATGAAAACCCATTCAATCTCTGGATATTTCTGTTCTAATTCATTAGTCGATATCTTCTCAATTTCTTCTTTTAAAAAGCGTGAAGCTCCACGAAAATTTGTTGCGTTATCAGAGAGAATACGCATAGGTACTCCACGACGACTCGTAAATTGTTTGAGAACCATTAAGAATGAATCAGTGGAAAGAGATGGTGCTATCTCTATATGCACTGCGCGTATTGTCATACAGGTGAATAGCACACCCCATCGCTTTTCCCTTCGCCTTCCAATAATAATATCAATGGGTCCAAAGTAATCAACCCCTGTAAAATGAAATGGTCTAGTAAAGGACGAAAGGCGTTCAATTGGTAGATCGCCCATTTTTGGTGTGCTTGGAACGGCTCTCTTTATTTTGCATAATTGACAGGCTTTTGACAGTGACCGTACCGCAGCTCTCAATCCTGAGATCCAAAATCTTTGACGAATTTCATTGACGATAATCTCATTGTGATGATGGTGGTACTTGCGATGGTAAAAATCAATAAATAAATACGTAATTCGATGCTTTTGAGGAAGAATTATGGGTCTTTTAACATCAATGGGTACATTCAATATAGCATCAATACGGCCTTTAATACGCAGAATCCCCAATTCGTCGAGATACGGTGAGATCTTGTAAAGATTACTTTTTGATGAAATGCTTTTATTTGACTTCAACGCTGAGATCTCTTCAAAGTACACCTCTTCTTGACAGGCTTTGAATATAAACAACTCCACCATGCTGATAGTTATATGTTTAATAAAAGGTTCAAATTCCATATTAAGACGTGATCCCATAATAACCTTTATATATTTAAATACTAGTCGTTGGCTGACACGAAATATTTCCCATTTGCTAAAGTTATTTGGGTCTGGAACTATCGTTGACAAAGGAAACGTTGGTCCTTTGACTTCAATGCGATAAAGCTGTTCGCTATGCACCTCAGGGTGATTAGAAAATTCTGAAGTAGGCCACTCTGATTCATCGAAATTTAAAAAAGATGGCCCTAAAAACCAGCGTGTATTAAAATTCAAATTGGGAACGCTATTCCATTTTGTTCCATCATCTGCCACATTAAGGGCTGAGGGTACCCATCTCCACTGCTTAACATGTGAGCCTTCTAGTATTTCTCCTATACGTAACGACACAAATTGTTGAAACTTTCTAGCATCTGATCTTATCCAGTATAGAACATCTTTGGAATCGGACCAAAAGAATTTGCTATGTACTTTAATTGACATTTCATTAACAACAAAATTTGCTAACCGTAAACCAATTACTGCAGCCATAAGTTCGAGCTTGGGTATCGAAATGGGCTTTAGGGGCGCGACTCTGGTTTTTGAAGCCACAAGACTACATTTTACGCTACCTTCATACTCAATTCGCAAAAAGACCACGGCTGCGTATGCATCAATGCTAGCGTCAACAAAGGTGTGCAGTTGAACATTTTGAGAACTATTCAAAAATCTATGACACCTTGGAATACGAATATTGGGTATGCTTGGAATCATTTTTACCCAAGTCCACCATTTTTCACGTTCATGTTCGAATAGAGGTTCATCCCAATTAACTCCAGATCTCCAAATCTCTTGTAGGACAATTTTTGCATAAATAACGAAGTGACCTAATAGGCCTAGAGGGTCGAAAATAGTCATGATTACACGTAAGACGCTTCGTTTTGTTGGCATGATATCTTCGTCAAACACTTCAGGGCCAAATTTAACAAAAAACGTTAGTTCGTCAGTGGATGGTATCCACCACATGCCCAGTACCTTTTCAAATTTGCCTTCGGGATCTTCAAAACACTTTTTCACTTCGAAAGTTGGACATTCCAAAGCGTTTACAACACGTTTTGAGTTGGACAGCCAGTTGTGCATTTCAAATCCTCCATCACTATTAATTGTTCGTACAATCTTAGCCATTGAAATCATCTCGTCCTCTGAGTCAACGCTTTGAAGCCAATCGTCGACAAATGTGTTATTTAAAATAGCATTAACAGCCTCTGGAAATTCTGCCGCAAACCGTTCGGCATTTTTATTTTTAATGAAATTTGCAAGTGAGGGGAAACAAGAAGCGCCAAATGTCATGACGGTCATAACATATACATCTATTTTCCGAGACGTATCACCGTCACGCCATAAAAATTGCTGGGCACTTTGATCACCTTTTGTAACACGAATCTGGTGAAACATTTCTCGAATGTCACCCGCAATAGCAATTGGCCTCTCACGAAAACGGAGAATTACGCCCAATAATGACTTCAATAAATCTGGGCCCTTCAAAAGCACGGAGTTTAAAGAAACATTTTCTACTGCAGCTGCGGCGTCCCAAACGATGCGAATTTCGAATAAGAAATTTCATTTTTCTGTAACTTTCTAACATAGCCTTTTCGCTCATAGTCTTTTATTTTTTCAACCAAGAAGGATTTAAGTTTGTCATTTTTGTTAATTTTAGCCTCCAAGCAAAACAATCTACGACGAGCCATAGGTAATGAATCAGGCAAGCATATGGTTTCATATTTCCACAACAAACCGGTTTCCCAAGACCTTTTCTCAGCAATGTATTTTGTGGTAGACTCCATAATAGATTTAGCTCGTTCATCTTCTTTGGAACGAAGTGGATTAATATTTAATTTTATTCCTATTGAATCTAGAGAAAAATAATTTTGTATTAATTCATCCATGCGATCATACACATTACAAGGGCAAACATGCATTACTCTATTAGGAGAAGTAGAACCTGTATATTGGCGGCCGTAGACGCCCCAACCGATTCGGCATCTTATGGCAATTAATCCATCGTTTGCACTTTCTCTAATTTCCAATGGGACACAAAGTTTTGCATTATCCAGCCCTATTAGAAGTTTTGCTTTCACTGACGTGTATGACAAATTGGAAATATTTTTTAGGTGTTCGTTTTGAGCGATGTCCTCTTTTGTGAGTGTTTGTATAGGAAGGTCGAGATTGGAAATAGTTCGTACATTGTGTAAAGCCATTTTATTTGCGACCTGATCGCGCGGTGATATTTGCAAATATACCTTTTTTGAGCTTTCATCGGTTTGTGTTATATCACCCGTCCATTGCAAGCATAACTCTTCTGCAGGCCCATCCAAGCCTAACTCTAATGCAAGCTCGTTTTCGATTAAGGTGCACGATGAACCTTCATCAATTAGAGCAAACGTATTTAACGAATGAGTTTTCCCATAGAGTGTGACCGGAACATAACGAAACAGTGACTTATTTTCTTTTTTGTGAAATAAAACCGACGAGTTTTCGTTTGCACTTTGTTCTTGAGGCTTATTTTGATGTTGACCAGTTTCACATTATGCAAGAGAGGATTATGCGGCATTTTACAATTGTCCACGTCACATTGTTTTTTTGAGAAACAGCGTCGCAAGGAATGTTTTTTAAAGCAGCGCAGACATAGGTTACTTTCACGAATAAAATTCCACCTTTCATTTACGGATAAAGACAGAAATTCTGGACATTCAGCTAAACGGTGACTCTGAGAACATTTTAAACAAGAGATTGTAGCTATATAATTTTTAGTGTTTTTATCGACTGTATCATGTAAATGTAGACGCTCTTTCCCGGACCCTTTTGTTTCATCCATGTTTGTAGGTGTAAATGTAGTCACGTGGGATGCGCAAGTAGCTAAGTTATATAGCCATCCATCAAAAATGATAATGTCGACTCTTGGAAAAGAACAACGATATCGACCCCAATCTAATTTCAAATCACACGGCAATTTCTGAACTAAATCATCTAATAACATTGGATCATTAAGATAATCTCCAAGACCCATTGCCTGCATTGTTGTTCTGTAGTTTTGTACAGCAAGGGCAAGTTGTATAAGAGTATCCAATTTATCTTTTCGCACCGGTATGTGTTCTTTAAGTTTTCTTTGCAAAGCATGGTGAATTATTTCTGGTCTTCCATATAACATGCGTAGAGTTTCAATAGCAAAGTTTACAGTTGCTGGCATCATCAGCTTGCCTCTCACAGCTTCTAAAGCCTGCCCCTTTAAACATTTTTGCAAACGTATCAGATTTTCTTGATCTGTAAATCCGCACCTCTCCGTCGACTGCACATAGTTGGTTATAAAAATTGGCCATTCCTCTGGATTGCCACAAAAATTTGGTAAATCTTTACTAATTGCTTGACGTGCTGCAACCTGCGACGTGGATAACGACACATCAGCTGTTAAGTTATTTGTATGTGATTGCAGAATAGTTGACGCAGGCATACTATTGTTATACATAAACGCCGGCGTCTGAAAAGAATTATTTTGTTGTAAAAACGACGGGTTGAATGCATTAGAAGAATGAGGAATTGAAGAATTAAAATAATTATGTGTTAATGGTATAGAGGAGAGACGAGGCACTGCATGCGTTTGTGTCGGATTAAACGAACCGTAAGGAAGTGTGAATGGATTTACATTTGTAGAGAGAAAACTTTGGTTCTGTCCATTGCTTTTTGTATTATTAACATTAGAAACATGAGGATAGCCTGAATGGGAATTTATAGTGGGGCCGCTAAATTGAAAAGCTTTCACTGGATCAACATTTAAAATAGATGAGTTGTTATTCCTTACTATATTTTCCTGTTGGGAGCCAAACGTTGGGATACTTGATATGCCGTGAGTGCTCGATGTTTGCGCTTCATTTAAACCTTGAAAATTGTTTGTTGCCACAGTGTTTTTAAACGAAAGCGAAGACATGTGTGCAGCTAAATTTTCACCTTGAGTTGCAACGCTTTCAGGCAAGTGAGCGTTTGTAGCGGCAAACGTGGAAGGCGCTTGTAAAGCGGCATGGTTTTCCTTAACAATCGATTTTCTTTTCGCAGGTTTGGCAATGAGACGAGCTCGTTTTGGTGGTTGTCGAGTTAAACCAGAGCGAGCGCGCGAAGGGGTGAAGGAGGAAGATTTTCTTACCTTTGTTTTCTGTTTGGCTAGGGACTGTGAAGCGTTTACCTCTGTATATGGATCGTCATCGATTTCACTAAGACCATCATTCTGCTTGCCTGGTTTCCTTGCAGCGTCACTTTCTCCTGTTGATCCAGCTGAAGGGTACAAACCTGAAGCAGTGAATGGGGTAGATGAGGTTGATTGATCTAGATTTGAATTTTTTTCCATAATTAGGTTTATTAGGAATTATACAAAGTTTGAGGTTATATTGCGTAATCCACAAGTAAGACTTTACAAACAAGTATTTTAGAAATGTTAAGGCGTTGGGTATGTTTAATAAAACGTATTTTTCAGCAAATATTACTACAGCTAAAATCTGCAATTTTATTAAATTAATTCAGTTCAAATTACAGAATATATAATAATTATGTATACATACACTTGTGTTTAAATTAGGATTTACAATACCCTGTTGCTTAACAAATAATTTCTTTTTCACAAATTTATAATTCTCCAAACGTGGTTTAACAAATTTAACAGTTTAAGAAAAGAAAGATAATGCAAATATGAGAAATTATAAGTAAAAGGAATTAAGAAAAACAGGTGTTGTAAAGCGAAAAAATAAAGAAATGACATTTATAAGTAATGTAATTGTGGTGATTTTTAAATTTATAATAAGTTTAGATATACACCGCAACACCTGATATAAACTAAAAATAATTTATTCATTTCTTCAAACAGACAATTTACCATTCAAATTACTTGCTATGTAAGTGGTTGTGTAGATTCTATTTAATATAAAAGATTATTTATATTTAAATATTTCATATGTATTTGTTTGATTTAGAATTCATCATAAATTAACAAAAAAGTAAAAAAAAACAATTTAAAAAGTTCATCAACGCTTTGTAGGCTTTAACACAAAATTTTGTATACCAAAAAGCAAAAAAAAAAAGTTTTATATAAAAATAAATTTAAAAAACTAAAATCAACACGTTTAACCATTTTTAACTTAAGGGTTAATGAACGTTTAGCCCTTTTTCTCATTTAATATATTCAGATGTGTGTGCATTTTTCATGTGTATGTGGGTGAATGTATGAGTAAGTAGTTGTTGTTGTTTTTTTTTGTGGTAAACAAAAACTAAATTTTATGGTTTAAATATAACAAATAATGAAATGTTTGTGGAAATCACTCAAGTTAAAATTTTTCAACAAAAACACTAGCACCAGCAAAAGCAGCCTAAATACCTTAAATATACAAATGTACGTGTAAGGATACAGTAGAATCTGACTAATAAAATATGAACCTACTAAATTACCATCTTAAATTATACTACTATAACAGTTATTGCAACTTTTTTCTAATATTAATGTATTGATTCTTACAATAATATAATTTTCCACTTAAAGAGGTTCAAAACTTAAATTATTGAAAAGTCTAATTCATATTTCTTTTTTTTAGTCAACCATTGGTATTATCGAAATTCTACTGCCAATCTGATACGAATGAGTTGAAATAAATAAAATGTTGAAGTTAAATGAATAATAACAGAACATGTTTAAAATACAGAATAAAATTCAATTCGCATACTATACACACATACACACGTACATGTCCTGGCAGCCATAAACGCATACTTGTATACAATATTCTACCCAACAGAAAATTTAATCACAGAAAATGTTAACCCTGAACTAGAACTGAACTAGACCTGAACTAGAACTGAACTAGAACTGAACTAGAACTGAACTAGAACTGAACTAGAACTCAACTAGAACTGAACTAGAACTGAACTAGAACTGAACTAGAACTGAACTAGAACTGAACTAGAACTGAACTAGAACTGAACTAGAACTGAACTAGAACTGAACTAGAACTGAACTAGACCTGAACTAGAACTAACTAGAACTGAACTAGAACTGAACTAGAACTGAACTAGAACTGAACTAGAACTGAACTAGAACTGAACTAGAACTGAACTAGAACTGAACTAGAACTGAACTAGAACTGAACTAGAACTGAACTAGAACTGAACTAGAACTGAACTAGAACTGAACTAGAACTGAACTAGAACTGAACTAGAACTGAACTAGAACTGAACTAGAACTGAACTAGAACTGAACTAGAACTGAACTAGAACTGAACTAGAACTGAACTAGAACTGAACTAGAACTGAACTAGAACTGAACTAGACCTGAACTAGAACTGAACTAGAACTGAACTAGAACTGAACTAGAACTGAACTAGAACTGAACTAGAACTGAACTAGAACTGAACTAGAACTGA